AACTCTATACACCTAGGTTAGATTACCAATGAGATCGCATGGAATAGTAACTCTATACACCTAGGTTAGATTACCAATGAGATCACATGGAATCACAACTCTATACACCTAGGTTAGATTACCAATGAGATCACATGGAATCATAACTCTGTACACCTAGGTTAGATTACCAATGAGATCACATGGAAGAGTAACTCTATACACCTGGGTTAGATCACCAATGAAATCACATTCAGTCATAACTCAATACACCTGGCTTCATTTCTTTAATTAATTATAAATTGATCTACACCTGTATCACAACTTGTGTGTATTTTAGGTGAAATTACCATTTGATATCCATGTACACATCAACTTAACATCTGGTGAACATGTTTACATCAACTTACCATCTGGCAAATGCATGTTATGTCAACTTACCATCTGGCATATGTGTTTTCTCTGGCTGGAGCAAATGAGCCAAATCTGTTTCTCTGAATGTAATCGTAGGCCTGCATGTTGGCCACACGTTGAACCTGTTCAGCCCACTCCTTGGCCTGGCGATTGGTCCAACATTTGAGGAGCAGCTTCCTACAGAATAAATACAACTAATTCAGACTAGACTAACTTGTCCGTAACTAATAATCCACTTATACCTCTGAAAGAAAGGGGAAGAGGAGGGGGGACAGGGGGTGGTCCCCCAAATATTGGAACTAGCCATTTAACAATTTTTCTGGTTTTTTTTTCCCCTTTTCCAGCTAAATTCAAACCAACAACTTTCAGTATGAGATTTAATGAGCACTTTGTTTCCAATTTTAAAAAAACAAAAACAAAAAACAAAAAACAACAACTAATAAACCTTGAACAAAAGTCGACCAACTCTGAGCAGACTTAACCATGCTGTCACAGTTACCAATGGTTTTCCTGGCAACAACAGTTCTTTCATTTAATGGCTGTATCCTTTTATTCTGCTGAACTAGGACTGAGCTATTGTAGTGCAGTATCAAGTAAAACTAATAGGAATATATTGTCTCCAATGAAGAACAATGCAACAATATATAAAAGTTTAATAATCGTGCACTTATTATTTTTGTATTATTGCTTATCACAGTAATTAGGTCCAGTAAGGTGAATTCACTTTTAGGAGTGGTGGTATCTTACCTACTAAAATTTTCAATCAGGACTCCATGACTGGCACCTGTAAGGTAAAGTCCACACTTGACTGAGAATGCTGAATCCATGAGCAACACATCACTGATATGTCCATCTTCTGGTCTTATGTACATCACAAAATTATCTTTCACAACTAACCACCTGCAACATTATTGACATCTACAATAACATTTTCATCAACAATCCTTTTTCTGAACAATAAAGGAAAAAAAAAAAGCTATTATGGCTGTTAAAATAAACACACAATTGTTTTTGTTTGACAGCATAGTAAGGAGCCCTAAAGACATTTCAAATCACTAAAATAAATTGTAGTTTATAGGACACCATCAAATCCGTAGGTGAACATGGCCCATGGTCGTGTTGTGCAGTAAAGCAGTACACACAAGCCCTATTAAATATTGTATACATTTTCAGGAGATCAGGAGGGAATGCGGTTTTTCCAGAGCTGTCGTGAGTAGCCCAAATTTTTATATTAAACAATTTATAAGCCTCAACTTTGAATCCAGAGGATACAAAACTAAACCGTGCCCCAAAAAGTCAAGCGACAACTCTGGGTTACTCCTATAAAGTAAGGCTTACTGAGATAGGCTGGTAGGACATTGGATTACCGGCAGGGTTATCAGATGGACAGCACAGATGAAGTAAAAATGGACATGGAATAAAGAGGTCGGCTACTGAGGTAAATATTGTCTTTGCGATTGATAAGATCATTTGGTTATCTGATAAATGAACTCAAATGAATGGGACAACCATTGTAAAATGGAGTTGAGATACACAGACATTTTTTTAACACAGACACCAATAGCATTGTTCCTCTCAAATATACATTAGCTCTCCTCAAAAAGTTAAAAACATTGCTAAACCAGAGGTCCTAAAGCACCCACCCAGCCTATAAGCCACCATTCACACACCCCAATAGTAGTGAAAAATTTATAACCGCACCATGACCATCTCTTTAGCCAACTGCAGGCCCATACTTCCCATTGAAATACTCAAACATTATACATTATGTCGATTAAAATGTTCTTAGTTTTTATATTTTATCTTTTTTTTTTTCCAGTTTTTAAACAAAACAAATTATGTGCATTGTGCACAGGAATTCGATAATAGTTGTCAAACAATTGTCCAGCCCCCAAACACGTCCAAGGGAAAGTGAACTGCCCAATTAAGTGTCCGAGGGTCAGTAAAACAATCCCCTGACTTAAAAGTTAGAGGACCCCTGACCTAAACTAATCCAAGGCATCTGCTTGAGGACCCTTGACCTAAACTAATCCAAGGCATCTGCTTGAGGACCCCTGACCTAAACTAATCTAAGACATCTGACCTTTTATTCCAAGTTCCAGCAAAGTGCAAGTTCTGCAGGCATCCACAACACTGTATATTGATCCTCCTGCCCCCAGAACACTTTTCTACCAGGCCTTCCTTAGACTTCACTCCCAGCTTGTTTACAAAGGACATGTGGCTCACTTCAAAGAATTTCAGCTGATCAATAAAAAAAAATTTAATAGTACACAGTAAACCCATGGACTAACAGGTTTTATCTTAACTACTTCTACCCATGATACAGCTCATCAGCTCAGAGACAGCTATCTCATCATACCTAGAAAAATGCACATAAGCCAAATCACCTTAATTGCAATGAAAATAACTTAGTTTATTGCCTCATGCAGTATATTATTGAAAGTATAAATAAAATGTATAATGGAAAGTATAAATAAAGTGTATAACAGAACGTATAAATAAAGTGTATTATAGAAAGTATACATAAAGTAAACTTTCTTTTCACAAAAATTATGCTTTTTCACTCCTTTCTTGTAAAATATTACTGGTCACATCCAATGAGAGTGTAAATAGATGGAGCACGTCCAAATGAACCTCAGCTCTAAAAGTTCATTTAAAACAAGAAGGTTGTTGCTGTCTGTATTGAACAGGAAGGGGAAAGTGAAGAGCAAAGTTTGATAAGTAAGAAATCTTTTCACATCTAATGCATTTTAATTTTTTGCTTCGTCCTTTGTTAAAAACATGTGCTGAAAAGTCTCATGAGAGGAGCTTCTTTCTTCCCCAAATCGACAAAAAAGTCAGATGTTTTGCCAATCATAGCAGGTCCTCTTGCTGTACAAAAAATGTATTCTTCCAGTGGAAATTTGTTGGGGAAAAAACCCCAATCTATTCACCATTTCTGAGATGTTGATGTTAAATTTTTATTTGACTTTCATGATCCCCTGAAACCCAGGAATAAAACTGTTGTCATTTAGATGTGTAATAGCATGTGTAATGTGTGAAATGTTTTACCGTTTCTGGGTGATTCCTGTAGGACTTGCACGTTAGTAAGTTTTCAAGGTATTCTTTCAGTTGTTTCTAGGATGAAAAAAAAAAAAAAAAGCTAATGAAAAAAAGACAGCTGTAGATAACTAAATCATATATATAAGAATGAGCTAGGTTCACATAACGCCAAAAGGGAGAACTTTTTAAGTATGTTCGGATTCCTAAAAAAAATCATAGTTATTTTCTATTATTTTACGGAAATCAAATAAATTTAAATGTGCACAAAAATATTTTAAATCCTCTTTTATATTAGTAAATCTTTAAGTATTATTATTATAAATTACAAATACATTTTAAGTATCAACTAAGAAACTATTTTAAGCATTTTATATGTGTTTAAAAGTTTTGAAAAAATAAAAAACATAAAAAAATCATGATCAAAGAATTACACCGTAATCACATTTTTCGGGAAAACCCAAGCATCAGCCGTTTTTAGTGCGTCTTTTAGTGCGTAATTAATAAGCTAAATAAAAATTTTAAAATTAATTTGTTCTAAATAATCATGCAAAGGAGGTCATTGGGCGCCAAAACTCTTAGGTTTCTTTTAGATTTAATAACCGCGCATGACCAAACTGATAAAGTAATTTCCCTTCTTAAAAGTAAAATAAATAAATACAAATTATTGCTTTTTTAAATTGTTAATAAAGCACACACACATTTTTGCTTTGCATATTTTTACATTTAAAAAGTTTTGCAAGTTTTGATTCCAAAAATATACTTTTATTGAGTTTATAAAGTTATATATAATAACCTTTAAATATAATTATAATAAGAAAATGC